CTGTCAGATATTCTAGACCTATAGGTCAAAGATGGATGCCTTTACATTGCAGAGGAACCTTGGGTGACTGTCCAGGCAGCCAGCTGTCTCTGTAATTTCTATAGCTTTGGACGTTGCTTGTTCTGCACTTCCTGTTAACTCAGGTAATATTTTATCCTTCTCAGGTCTCTGTTGGGGTAGAAGATTAGATAGTTATAGTTTTACCATTTTCATTGTTACCAAATTCAAAAAAGAAATTCATAAAAGAGATGCGAACTTTATAAAGCTTGAGAAACATAAAAAACTTAAGTTGTTTAAGAAAATAGTTTAAGTTCTAAAAGGTTATTTTTAGGAGGGTAATACTAGTTATAATAAAATATGGCTTAGGTATAGAACTTTGTACTCACCAAGATAGGAGAGATAATAAAATACTTTCTTTGAATTTGCCAAATACAAATGGACTAGACATTGTGAATTACAATGTTAGAGTTAAAAACCTTTCCTTTTTATTTAGACAAAAAGGGGGAAATGTTGTGGGATCACCTTTTTGTACAATGTAAAGATGTGTCTCTGTTTTAACTCACACGCCTAAGGCACCTTCTGATTAGTTTAATAAAGAGCTGAATGGCCAATAGCTAAGTAGGAGAGGATAGGTAGGACAGAGAGAGAGAGAGAGAGAGAGAGAGAGAGAAACTCAGGCAAAGAATCTGAGAGGTAGAGATTCACCAACAAGATGTAGAGGAAGTCAGACATATAATATGGAGACAAGGTAACAAGCCACACGGCAGAATGTAGATTAATATAAATGGGTTAATTTAAGTTTTAACAGATATTTGGGGACAAGCCTAAGCTAAGGCCAAGCTTTCATACTTAATAATAAGTCTCTGTGTCATTATTTGGGAGCTTGTGGTCCAAAAACGTCTGACTACAGGGAGTGTCTAGAAATGGGTCCTCTGCAAACCCCTTAAAACTTCCACTATTTCTAAGAGGTGCTACAGATCTGCCATTGTGTCTGTTAGTTGCTGGTGGCTGTACCAAGTACTTACTTAGCTATATCAGCAAAACTTTCCATGCTCACCCAAGAGAGGAACTCTCATGGAACACCAATGGCATGAACTCTTAGGAAACAACATCTGTGTGGCCATAAGAGTATGTGTTTATGATGGACTTTGATGGTCAGCTACATTGCAGGGAACTTTAACTCGCTGAGTATTTTGTGCATGAGAAAATAAGTTGGCCCCCGATATACCGATTAGTAATGGGTGTCATTTGCTGGTGTTTATACTCAGGATTCATAGGATTAAATTCCCAGTGGAAAAGCTTTCTTGGTGTACGTTGCCCAAATGAAGTCATCTGCTCGCCTGAACAATTTTTATCTCTCTTTAAAAACAAAATGTTTCATGAATGCCTGTTTAAAATAAGTGACAGGAAAAAGAGATATTTTGAAACAGAAACTTAGTAGAAACCTAGACTTGATGCGGTTTTTAAAAACATGTAAGACATAGTCAACATTTGTAGTCAACCTGTAGGGTCTGATTATGTGATAGATATCTTGCCACATTTCATAGTCAAAATTTCTAAAGGAAAAGGTACTATCTTGCCCCCAAACACCCTCCTGCTGCTAATTTAGCTATCCACACCATCTGTGACATCCACTTATATTCACAGCATCCTAATTTTGGTTTCCAGAAGCAACATGGAGAGGTAAGAGTTTATTTCATCTTACAGGTTACAGTCCATAATAGATAGAAGTCAAGGCAGGAATCTGAAGGCAGGAGCTGAAGCAGAGACCATGGAGGAACACTCCTTACTGGCTTGCTCCCCACAGCTTGCTCAGCTACCTTTCTTCAAAAGCCCAGACCCACTTGCCTAGGGAGAGCACCGCCCACAGTGGACTGGGCCTTCCTACATGAATCAACAATCCCAAAAATGCCTATAGACACCCCCAGGCCAATCTGATGAAGGCAATTCCTCTTTGAGGACTTCCCAGACGTGTCAAGTTGATTACCAAGATTAGCCAGCACACCAACCCAACATTCATAGCCAATCTTTCTCCTCAACCAATCCTAATCTAATCTGGCCCAAACATCTGTAAAAACATAAGCTCCAAGCTCCTTTGTGCTGATATCCCTTTTGTTCATTCTATTTTCTTAACCTAAAAGTTCTTTGTTCCCTTAAAAGGCCACTTTTCCTGTGAAATCGCCAAGATCCCCCTAACCAGTTACACCTCTATCTTGAATCTTCAGTATGGTATGTGGCAACGCTATTCTCCATTCCTTGAAGCTATTTATGAATCCCATGTCCTCCTTGTCAACACCAGGTATTCACCTCATGACAATTGAGAATATGGCTCTTTCATATTCACATACCCAGAGGTATACAGGACACTGCCTTGCATATAAGAAGAATTCAATATATTCTGAAAATATAATTTTTGTGGTCAACATATTCTGAAAATACAATTTTTGCCCCAAATAAGATACCACTGATTGGGTTATAGTTTCATGGTCTTCTTTATTGTACCCATTACCTTCATACTCAAATAGATGTCTCTCAGACTTAGAAGCTTGCAGGGAGGGTGGTAATAGTTCCTTTGGGAATAATACTCATTAGGCAATTGTCTACCACTGGCCCATGCTACATGCTTCACTGTAAATACCGTAGTCCTTGGCTTCAGTAGCAGACTCAAAGCCAAAGAAGATGAGTATAAGAGACTCTTAAGTTGCAATGGAGAATTTATGAAAAAAGTAATATCTACTGTCTTCAGAAGAATTACAGCTGTGATGATGCCTATGTGACAAAAATGATGGACTTCTCATTGGTTTAAGAACTGCTTTTCTGGGATTGGAGAAATGGCTGCTCTGGCAAAGTGCACAAGTTCAAGCACGCACATCACCACATCATAATTGCCGGTAACATCAGATCTATGTGCCCTATCTGATGCCCTCTTCTGGCCTCTGTGGGTACCTACACACATGTGCACATACTCACCCAGAGATACAGAGAGAGAGAGAGAGAGAGAGAGAGAGAGAGAGAGAGAGAGAGAGAATTTTAAAAGTAAAATAAATCTTTTTCTCTTTAATGAACTGGTTTTCTAAAGTGGTAATAATGAGAGTCAGAATGAAAGAGGTGAGTTTTGTCGCTGCTGTGTACTGTTTAAACTCTCCTCATGAAATATCTGGCATGCGTGTATAGCACTTAGCTCTTGTAAATGAGGTGGATATGTGAGCACGTGTCCAGTTCTAATCATGGAACCTCTAAAACTGTCTTTAAAATGTATACATTCATTACTGAATAAAACAGGAACTAGACAAGCTCCTCAAAATGCTGCCATATTGTGACACAGTGCTTTTTATCTCCCAAGATCTTTCCACATCTCTGCTCTTTCATCCACAGGCTCCAACCTGTCATGAAGATCGCCGCTCGCAACACTGGCTGATTGGTCATTGTTGTTGTTGAGGATGATGGTATTTGATTGGGGTGTGAGGGGTTAAAGTGAACATGTTTCTCTAATTATGTAGATAAAAGTCTCCATTTGTTCTGACTGGGCCATTTTATGTCAAATACCTAGTGAAGTGCAAACACCTGTCTTCAGGGAAACACCATGTGCCAATCTGCTTAGATTCAGGTCCCTGAAACCCATCCTAAAGAGGACGTTAGATGCTTATGGTTGGCTCAGACTAAATTACAATCATTTAGGAAGAGATACGAACTATTAAAAGCATATTGATACTCTAAAACCCAGAGAAAAGAGGAATAGAGTTGGTGCTTTATAGGATAATCATTGTAAATATGACCTGAAATTACTATTCAAACGATGATGAATGACTTTTTAAATTAAGAAATTAAAATCCGTTAAATATACTTTTTTTAAAGGATTTGTAATGATTTCCTGAGTGAGATTATTACAAATAAATGCCAACAATAAGACCCATTTACCCCAGTGGGTCTTCTTCAATGAAGAAAGGGGACTTATTTAATGTAGACTATAAATCTCATGAGGCACAGACCATGCCCATCTTCCCCAGAGCCTATCCCTGGCAAAGGAAAATGCTCAATTTTTTTTCTGGTTGGATAAATAATACACACAATCCATCAATGACGGACACTTGTGCTTGAACAGGTGCCAAGCGTATGGAACGCAGATGCACTGAACCATAAAGGGTGCCCAGGGGAAGGCTCTGCGAGACAAAAGCGACTACACGAAGGACCAGGTGTCAACTGCTGCCTACCTCCAAGCCAGCAATGTCCTAGAACCATAACCAACATCGGACAACAGTGTAGCTGAGCAAATGAACACCTTTGCTCTTTTAAATGTGGCACTCAGCTTCGGAGATAACTGCAAGGCTGGCACAAGGACCCAGGTTTGACATTACACACACACACACACACACACACACACACACACACACACACACACACAA